AGGTCCCATGGTTGTCTGTTGTTTGCGTTTTCCAAAAATTGCCCAAGCCCAATTGAGGGCTCCTGCAGTGAATGGGATCGAGAGCCCCCAGGCCCTTCGTACAAACGCGCAGCTGAGGCTCAACTGTATGAGGTGGCTCTATATCTCGCAACTTCTTCAATCCTGAAGTTGCCAAAAGGATGGCCAATAGATTGGATCTGAATCTGAATGTGCCTCCGACGTTTCTTGGGGTAGGGTTGCTTGTGAAACAAGCTGAACACAGGGGCGCTTACGCCAGCTTTTATGGTGTATTGTTTGAAGGAACCGTGGAACAACGGAGAACTACTTAATGCGATGTGTGCAACACTGACCCTGGTTCTTGAAGACATAGGTGTGAAAGAAACAAAATCCAGAAAACATGTCACCAAACCTGGAATGGATAGAGTTGTTTCTAGTTTAATGTGATGCTATTGTGATACTGCGCATTTTTTCTCCGTTGCGTAAGGTTTTTTCACCTTCCGTCGAAAGGCGTGGAAATGCGTCGAATGTTAGGGTTTGAAATGGGACCCTAAATATGTCATCTTGGAGAGTTAGGTTCACTCAACTTTGATGTTTTCGAAAAAAATAATCCAGAGCAGTGCCCCTTGTCAAATCCTTTGATTTGTGCCTCCAAAACCGTTTGTGCATCTCAAGGGTTTCGGGAAGTTTGGCTAGTACTGGCCGTGAAGTCGTCTTTGGCGATGGCGCCAAAGAAAGCGGCGGCTCAACCTGTTACTCCAGAAATGCTCGCGGACGCATGGTTTGCACAATACCCTTTGACAAAACAAGCGGGGTCCGATGGGTGATGTTTGATACCTCATACACATCTTGACTGTGAACCATTTTCTTGCGAGGAAATGGCTCGCGCCGTTGACATGGACATTGCTGGTGGCCTCGGCGGCTTAACGGATGCTCAGCGGCTTTGCGCACTACCCCCTGGAGTCTTCCTTGGTGGCCGCGGGATGTCATCGTGACATGGCGAAAGGTGCAACGAAGAGATGCTGCTATGATTGGGCCTTGACTTCCCTTCAGAGGAACAAGTTGCAGCATGCCCTATGTGGAAACGGGGCAGGTGGGTCGCGCACCACTGCGCGAAAGAGAAAAGAAAGCGAAGTGCGAGCAGATCCAGTTGCGGGTTTTGATTTGTCTCAGCTTGCTCCACTGCTCATGCTTTTGCAGCAGGTTTTAGCTTTGGTTAACAGCGGCAGTTTTGATTTGCAAGACGTGTTGCAAAAGTTAGGTGCTGTGATGAACGGTTCTTCCAAGAAGGGAGGGACTAACACACCGACCAAAAAGAGGCGCAAGAAAAGAAAGTCCAAGCGTGTGCTTGCTCCGCCCTCCCATGCTGTGCAGCCATTTTCTGAAAGGACTTTTGCCGATTCGAAACAGCAGCTTGACAAAGCTGCGCCATCTAAGCCAGACAAAGGGTCGACCGACCCACATCCTGCGGGTCGCACATTTGCGCAAGTTGCAGGAGCTGCAGGTGAGAAGCAGGTTTTCCAACCGGTATGGCAACTGAGGCCTTCAGATTGGGACGCCAGCATTTTGTCCATTGATGAAATCACGCATAGGATTTGTGAAAAGAGCCCTGCCAAACTTCAGGCAGTGTCCTTCGTGCAGAATGATAGCGAACTGGACGAACTTCGTACTCTGCTATCTGGATTTGAGGATGCCAGTCATGAACTTGGTATCACCGCAATCATGTTGGCAACAAAGGGTGACACACCAAAGCAAGATGGTGAAATCATCCAGGTGCCAGGCAAGAGGCAAGGCAAAGTGACACCGAGAATGGCACACGTCGTGAAGCTTGGTTCCAATTGCCCGTCCTTGAAGAGAACAATTCGACGCATCGAATCTACCCCGGAGATGGTCAAAACAGTCGTGCTTCGACTCGCCACTGAGGCACGCTACCACGATGAAAGCAAGTGGAAGGCCATCCTTGAGCACTCATCACATGCTGCGCACAAGTGGTTGCATTCCAACTTGCCTGCTGTAATGCAGCGCAAAGTCAGAGACACTTGGGGATGGCAATTGGAATCCTCAAAGGGTGGTGGAAAAGCGTTGGTCACTGCTATGATTCGTGTGGAGCACACAGCGGTCAACTCCATGCTTTCCCTCTCAGGTAAAGAGTCTTGGTTTATCGAGCCTTTGCGCCGGGATCAGCCTGATGTGCCTGCTTGTGAAGTCAAGTGGGTCAAAAGGAACCCCGAAGAGCCGGGACCTCAGTATGCAAACCGAGTACATGCAGAGGCTGGGAACCTTGGAGTTGCCCGGGGTTGGAAAAGCCTCGGTGTTCGTGTGCCTCGGGGATCTGAGACAAGAAGCAAGACCCGTACCAAAACATGGAGGGTCACTGGGGTTCCAAGTGATTGGAGCCACGAGCCAGTCTTCGCAGAACTTCAGGCAGCTGGCCTGTCCAACTTGCAGCTGACGAGTCGCAAGTCTTATGGCAGAAAAGCAACGCTTTTTCTGACAGCCTCCTGTGAGAATGATGTTGATTTTGTTGAAATTCGTTTCGAAGGAAGCCCCATGATTGCAACAGCTTTCAACCCTGCCAAGCATCACCGGAGTGAGCGCAAGCCCCTGAAGTCTGGTAGTGGCCTGTCTTTTGCTCCTGATGCCTTCCTGTCCGAGACAGATACCCATGGCAAATCGGTGAGAACTTCCTTCTATGTTGCTTCACCGGTGAAGAAGAAGCAAAAAGTTGAAGAAGTTGCTGAAACCCAGCTAGATGCAAGCCAACCGGATTCATCTATGGATACCAGAGAACCTGCAGAAGCGACTTCACCCCGTGAGGGCGCTGCAGGAAAGCGAGCAGCCGGTTCGCCCAACAAGGGCGATGATTGTGCGCCCAGGTCCAAAGTTCTTAAGCGACCAGTGCCGAGTGGTATGAGTCGTGTGAAGAATGCTGGGCAAGGGAATTGTCTGTTTGAAGCCATCGGTCAGGCTTTGAGTCCGAACAAGCCGAAGCATGGCCGAACTGTGCGTGCTGCAATTGTGACCCATTTGCGACGTCACTCAGACCGCTACCAGCCTTGGTGGGATGCTTTGGGGCCTGACGGCAAGTCTTGTGACAGTTTTGACGCCTACCTCAAGCTCCTCAATAAGCCTGGCGCTTGGGCGGGCTGTTTGGAGATCGCCGCCGCCGCGGCGCACTATGACAAAGCCATTTACGTTTTTGGTCCTGTCTTGCAGTCCCATGTTGAGGGATACAATACTTCTTGTGCCAATGGTTATCTCTCTTTGTGGTATGAGGATAACCATTACGAGTGGCTCAAAGGTCCGGTTCCCGATGATGTCCGCAAAAATGTTTGCAATGGTCCTTTGCAAGGCGGGCGGGGAGGCGCGACCTCCAGCAAAGTTTCGACTTCTGCATCTGGGCGCACGAGGTCCTCTGCGTTGCCGCCCCTTCCAAGTTTTGGCGGGCGTACCAGAAAGTCTGCCTTGCCTGACCTCCCGGTGCCCTCTGTTCTCAGTGCTCAGCGGAACACCCAGGTGTCAGCAAAGTCTGTGAGCAGCAGCCGTTGTCTTGATGAGGTTGATCTTGCTGATCGTGATGACATGCCGGATCCTCCACCAGTTACGTCCGCCAGGGACAAGAATCAGCCGCAAGATTGGGTTTGCACTGAATGTGGATTCAGAACTGGTCTCCATAAGAATTGGAGCAAAATCCGTAGGAACCATGTGGTGACTTGGCATGCTGAGAAGAAGAATTTCTACAACCGACACAGAGTCGCTGACCTGATCCCATGGGATCCCGACCTTTGCTCTTGGAAATGCCCTCTGTGCGCTTCGGGTGTCCCAAAGACTATCAGCGATGTTGATATGCATTACAGAATGCGTTTGGCTCACCGTGATAGATGCCACCCCAGGGCCAAACGCCAGCGTTTCGTGCGTGCCCGAGGCAGCAGTGCCAACGCACGAAAGGCGACCATCGCCAAGACTGCTGCAGGTCTGGCAAGAAGAATGGTTGATTTGAAGGCCGGTGAGCAGGGAGAGCACGATTGCGAGATCCTCCAGCTCCCACATGTCGGCAAAGGCAAAGCTGTGCGTCGATTCCACAACAAGCTTTTTTGTAAGAAGTGTAAGGCCTTGGCAAGTTCCGTCAAGAAGCTTTCAAGCGTGAGATGCGATGCCTCCTTCAAAGGAGGTCCGAAGCGAAAGCAGCTGATTGCTAGTTTGCAAAAGTTTGCTGATAAGCTCAGTGTAGGTTCGCAGGAGCACACCGCAACCTTGCAGGTGGTTTCGAAGATTTCTCCTCCTGCCAATGTGGATGAGCTGGTCCCAAGAGCCCACAATGTGGTCCAGGTCCAGACGCCAGGCAAACGCAAGCAGGCCGCTTTGTTCTGCACTCGCTGCCGTCGCCTGTCTGCCACAAAGAAGCATTTGAATAAGTTCAACTGCAGTTCAGCAGCGGTTTGGTCCCCTGCGCGTGAGCGTGTCTTGCGACAGGTCGATGAAAACGCAAAGGGAGCCAGAGGCAAACGCTTGAAAGCGTTAAGTGAGCTGACTGATTTGCTCACTGGGAAGGCGACTAGCAGCTCAACCCCATGACTGTGCTTGAAGCTGCCAATGGGGGACAACGATGTCCCAAGCATGATGGTGCCTTGCGAATCGCCACACTCAATGTGCGTTCTCTCAAGGGCAAAATGCCCGAAGTGTTGCAACTGGCTGACAGCTTGTCAGTCGATATTTTGTGTTTGCAGGAAGTCAGACTTTCTGAAGATAACTTGCTGGCCGCGTCTCACGCAGCCAAGCGCAGTGGTTGGCAATTTTTCGCTAGCCCTTGTGCTATGAACAATGCGGGAGCACCTACTGCCGGTGTTGCCATACTTAGCAAATGGCCTGTTGACAAATATGTGTTACCTGACCCCTCCTGTGTTCTCCGGGCACAACAAGGCAGGTGGCAAATCATGAGAGTGCACAGGCCTGGTTCACGGCCTTTTTTGTGCGTCAACCTTTATTTGCATGCTTCGGATAAGATGCAAGCCCGGAACTTAGGTAAGAGTCTCTTTGAGGCGATCGCTGTCAGCGGTGAAGATTGCATCTTCATAGGTGACTGGAACTGCACCGCTGAAGAAGAGCCTGTGTGTTCAGTTCTTCGCAGTGGGTGTTTGCGTATGGCCGATGATGTGGCTGGCATTGAAACCCTAGCCATTCCGACTCACGACAAAGGTCGGCGTATTGACTTTGCTTTACACTCTATAGGTCTTGTCCCTTGCGCCAGAAGCCAGTCCGCAGGGATTGCTGACCACTGCGCAGTCATGTATGATTTTGCGGTTGCCGGTTTGGAGCCTTGTTTCAAAGTCCCTCCTCCTAAGACCTTAAAGGCAAAAGAACCCGTCGAGCAAGAGCGGTGGGATGCTTCTTTTCCTCTTGAACGGTTTGATTTGTTGTTAGCGCAGCAGGATGTTCAGCGTGCTTGGAATTTGTTAAGTGACCATGCCGAGTCTCTTTTGCAACCCCATTCGGTAGGTCGTTCACGCACGACAGTTCCTGGTCCCACATGTGTTGCCACAGCGCCCACTAAGGTCGAAAGACTTCAGACTGTGTTGGAGCGTCGCCTCCGTCGCACCCTGCGACGTCTGGCAGAGCTGCAAAAGACTGATGCTGATTGGAGCTTGGCACGTAAAGTGCTGAATGCGCTGCCGTACTTGCAAAAGCATTTTCCTGAGCTCACTGAGGTTCAGAATCTGAACACAAATCTTATCGCTGTCCTCGAGCAATGCTTGCAGAAAGAAATATGTGCTAGTCGGGAAGCTCGGCTGCAGTCCTGGAAGCGTAAAATGGAGGAAGACGAGTCTTCCCTTGTTCGATGGGTGAAAGGAGCTGACAAGGTTTCTTGCTTTGCCACTGACGACTCTCGGGTCCCGGTGCACCCAAAGCCGAACATTTTGCAAATTTTTGGCAGAAAGTTTGGTCCCCGCCTTCCCTGGCTCAAGGAGAGGCTGTTGACCCTTTCTTGGATTGGATCCCGCCCGGGGGCTTTTCTTGCTCAGAGCCAAATTTCACACCTGCAAATCTCAGATCTCAGGTACGAAAAGCTGTTGGCAAGGCCCATGGGCCTGACGGTTGGACGGGTGACTCATGGTCCTTGTTGCCCATGGGTTTCTTTGATGCCTTGGCCAAGTTGTGGAATGTGGTTATGAAAACGGCGCGCTTGCCATACCAGTGGCACTCAGTTCGTTGCGTTTTGATTCCCAAAGAGGTCGGACTCCGACCCATCAGCATTGCAGCCCTTGCCTGGCGAACTGGCATAGGTGTCCTTGCTCAGCAGCTGGCTCATTGGATTGATTCATGGGCCCCTGATGAACTTGTGGGCGGTTTGAAAGGCCGATCTTCAGCTACTGCGCATGAACAATTGCATGAGAGCATAGCTTGGCCCAAGGTTTTTGGAGCTAAGATCGACATTGCCAAATGCTTCGACCATGTCGATGTTAAGCAAGCTCTTCATGTCTGGTCCAAGTTGGGGGGACCTCGCACTGTGGTGGCTGTCCTCCAATCCTTTTATGACAAACAGACGAAAACCATGGAATGGTTAGGTTCTTCCACTAAACCTTTTGGTTGTTCTCGAGGCCTTTTGCAGGGTTGTCCCTTGAGTTGCGGTCTGCTAGCCGGCCTGATGACGGTGTGGTATTGGCACATTAAAGCCAGTGCACCCCAAGTCTGTGTCTCTGTTTTTATTGATGACAGAACCCTGTGGAGCTCCGATTGGCGTCAGCTTTGTTTGTCACTCGAAGCGTCCAGTAGGATTGAAGAGGCTTTGGGCTTGAGTCTGAATCACTCCAAATGCGAGCTTTTTTGTAAGTGTTCTTCATTTCAGCTCGTTTCAGTGAAACGGTGGAATCATGAGTCCCACCGGAACTGGAAAGTTTGCAGACAATTTAAGCTCCTTGGTGTCCACTACTCTCTCTCCAAGCGTCGGCGCACACCTGTAGAGGACACTGTGACTCGCAAGGTTTCTGCGCGACTGCGCAGACTTCGGACCGCAACCAGCAACCAGAGAAACAAACGCAAGCTCACGCGCAGTTTGGTGTTGTCTTTGTTTGCTCATTCGGGGCCGTGGACAACTGTGTCCAAAAAGCTCTTGAATCAGTGGCGTTACACCATTGAGCAAACCATCATCGGCCGTGCCGTGCCGGGCAGGTCTCGTTTTCTGCTTTGGCAGTATTTAGGTCCGGATCTTTGTCCTGAATTCGCGTTGGACAGGCGGGTAGTCTTTCATGAGCTTTGGAAAGTCAGACGTGCTGTCTCAAGTTGCCGTTCCCTGCTCGACATCGAGCAGGTGTGTGCCGCTATGCCCCAACCTTCGACCTCTTACCGATTGGCAGAAGTTTTGAACAAGTGGCAGTGGCAGCACATCTCGCAGAGTCGTTTCCGCACCCCGCAGGGGGACCTTGATTTGGCATTTGACGGGTTGCCGGCAATCAAAGAGGCCATGAGACACGCATGGCTGGCGTACCTTTGGAGAAACGAGCCCCGCGCGCAAGATGACGCGGAGGTTTGTCAACGTGTTTTGCCAGTCTACCAGGCGCATTCAGCTTGGATGCGTCAGGGCGTCTCTGATTGGGAGTCCTTCTGCATTGCGGTCGGCGCTGGCAAAGATAGTCGTAAACTCGCCAAGCAGCATGAGCTTGAGTCCTTCAATTGTGCATGCGGGAGGGAATGGCCTTCACGCACACATGTCACGTGGCATTGTCCTTCTTGCCCAGGGTTGCCTGAGGCTTCTCGGCCTACACGCAAAGCTGAGGAACGTTTGCTCGTTCCTAGCATCCAACTTCCTCCCATACCTGATGAAAGGTGTAGCCAGTTTTTGCGACCGGATCCGAATTTGTGTGATCTTTTTCGTAGGACTGCCACGGCCGACCAGGTACTTTTGGTAGCTTCCGATGGTAGTTCTCAAAAGGTCCAGAATCTGCGCAGGGCTGCTTGGAGTGTCGCAACAACCGACCGGGTTTTTGCTGCCCGTCTCCAGGGACTGGATCAAAACATTTTTGGCGCTGAATCGGTTGCTGTTTTGAAAGCTTTCATTGCTGCGACTCATTTGCGCGTAGATCTTCTGTTGGTTTGCGATAACCTTGCGGTCGTCAGACGTGTGAAGCAAATCCAAACGACGGGATATTTGCCTCAGTGGGCGCCGGGCCTGTGGAAGGCCTTAAGCTTAGTTTGCTCCACCCACGAATTGCGTGGGTGCCTTCGCACGATAAGCTTCTTGATTGGACCCCGTCCCTTACTGGCCACATGGCTGAGACTTGGAGACTCCTCAACAAGCGAGCCGACGCCAAAGCTCAGGAACAGGCCGCTCGGTCTGTGCACGAGCTTCTTGATTGGAAATTTACCTTTGATGCTGCAGTGGCCTGGTCTGCTTCAGCGCTTGATAGGCAGCGGAGTGCTTTGCGGTTCCTGAGGCGCCTCATCGCTCCTTCCGCACCCGGCTGTGATGTTCCTTCTGTTGGCTTGTCAGCTTGACGGAAGCATGAGTTGACATGGTTTTGCTGTCTTCGCTGCAGCAGTCACTTTGCCTTCGCAGGATTTTTGCTGGACATTGAAATCTACGGATAGACCACTATCTGCCTTTGGCGATTTCTTTTTTCGTTGGGCGCTTTGCGCCTGGAACACTGCCTCCAGCCATTCATTGCTATGAACCCAGGCTGTGGCAGAGCAAGACTACACACACACTTAACGGATGCTCAAGCGGATATGGTGCGAGCTCGGCTGTGCCTTGGAGAGATTCGTGGTTGGTACCTGCCATGTGTGGTCACTGTAGGATGGGCGCCCTGAACTAAACGTCGTGTGCAAGTTCATCCAAAAACAAACCCTAAACTGTAAGTTTGATATTGCAGTTCGCCCTCACCCCCCCAAAAGACACATGCACAAACGCACACTTGAGAAGGATAATGCAGGTGTCGTGGTGAAATACAGACTGGTGAATTAAGTGGTTATATATATATAATATATATATATATACATATAATATATATATATAATATATATAGCTCGACAGAACGTGGGTTGCGCAGTGAAAAATGCTCAGGCAACGGTTTGGAGCACCAGGGCCGACCGGGCCAGTGGAAGCTGCGCCACAGGTTCTGACACGCCCTCAGCCAGCTCAGCCAGCGGCGACTCCGCCACAGGTTCTGACGC